TTGAGTGGAAATGAATGCCTTCAGGGGGAAAGTTAATTAATCCTGTGTCAACCTTAAAGTCATTTCACTTCTTTCGTCTTCTCTCTGAGATTCAGCAGTTTAAACTCCTCTGGGCCCCCATCACTGTCTGAAAAAGTCTTTTTCAGGACTGTGGCAGCTTCAGACTTAAGAGCCGAGCCACGAAAGGGCCAGTAGCTTGTCTACACTGACTGACAGAAGAGAAGAAATCCTCTGGGATGCCAAAAAAACGCTCTGACATTTCACTGTCTTTAAACCAAAAAGATGTACAGACATTGAAATGATGAAGACAAAAGCACTCTCATCATCTCGCTGAGATCACAAAGCTTATACATTTTCTAATCATTTAAATGGCCGTCCATGTGGCCCCTGAAGAAATGTAAAGAAATGAATTTGTTCAGGGAATATTCTTTTCTTATGTGAACAGCACAAAACAAAAAAAGCCCCCAAGACAAACAAAGAAGCACGCATAATACATGACCATTTCCATATAACTGTTTTGTTTCCCCAGACCAAGACAAAAGGAATGCAACCAAATGCCTCTGCTGTGATTGTTTGTCGACAGCTGAAACCATCCGTCACCCAGCAGGGGAGCGGGGGGAAAGTGAAGCATTGCCAGGAAAAAGTCGGTGGGGGAGCAGGAGTGAAAAAGCACAGAGGCGCATAGATAGTACCTGGCCATTTGGTGATTAAGAACTGGGTGGAGTGTAAACGCATCAGGCTTCCCCCACCCTGAAGACATTTTATGGCTCACCTTAGAAGACAAACACTCTCCTCAGAAATCCGACCCTTCAGGATAAGGGAGGGCTCAAAGTAGCATCTTCTTTCCTTTTTTCAAAAACTGGCTAATTTATGGTTTCCCTGGCAGTTAACTCCTCTCTCAGTTACAACAAATACCTTTTCATTACAAAGGAGGAGAGGAGCAGGGAAGGTAGTGGGGCTGCCCTCAGGCTACAGATGGGAGTAATTTACTCCTCCCTGTCCCACTGTTGGCTTAAACACAGCCGCGCCAAGTTTATTTTAGGGCTTACAGCCCAAGAGAGACCCTCTTGCTTAATTACTCTAATTATAATGCTGGGTTTTATCATATTCTTTTGCAGCTCCCCACTTCCGACTGCAACGTGTAAACATACAACCCCATCTACCCACAAGTCCAGGCAGCTATTGCACTGCTGGACTGAATCCAAGAGGCACATTTTTAAGGATTCGATTTCAGTGACTCTTTCCCCTTTTCAGAACGTGTGTAACAGCCAGACCGGGCTAAATTCTGAATAGGACATCTTAAAGTTGTACAGCCCAGATTAGGAACTAAATAAAAACCATTAGACCAAGAGTTCAGTCTGTAAGATTAACACGAAAGATTATTTTACGCTCTGGTTTAGTTAGCCAGGAAAAACTGAAAAAGGTGTTTCTAATAATCTGAAACATGGTTGTACTAAATCTGACGCAGTTAAGTGTTCTCAAACATCAGACTGGGGGCGGTGGAGGAAACACTGACGCTACAAAGGACAGATTTCACCAAAGCCTGGAGTGTGAGGGTTACATTCCTGTACAAAGAACAAAGCTTTGATTATCAGCGGACTGTTTCTCAAGGCGGGAGTCGAGATAAGTCAGACATGAAGCAACAACAGTTACGTGTCTTTTCAGTAATACTACATCCAGAAGCAGAAAAAGGCAGTGTACAAATAAGACATCTTACCTTCATCAGTGTTGGCAGGCCGGCACTCCGTCCGTAAAACTTGGGAGAGTAAAACCAGACTCAGAAGTATACTCGGTCTCATCAGCATCCTGCTGAGGGAGCTACAATTGTTGGCTTTTCTGCAACTGCAACTCCATTCAGACCGTTGGGGCATCAGCAGCGGGTCATTCACAGTGCTAAGCTAAAAACAAACAAAAAGTAATAAAAACAAATTAATGCATGACCGCGTGAGAAAGCAGCCTCATGGGTTAAAAGCAAACAGTTACTAAAAATAGGTTTAGGGTACAAGTATTTAGCGAGAGACATATTTGCTTGTATTTGCTCGTGGAAAATAAACATTGGTATGCACGAATGGAAAATGTGCTCTGTGGCTCTTATAATAAATAATGTATATTTTTACAAATGAATGGAAATCTAAATTGTTGTTGACATTGAAATTCCCCACCTATCAAGAAGAAGAGGATATTCTGTTTCTCTCCAAGGTTTGAGGTGGGCATTTAGGCCTGCATGTACAAGAACACAGATAAGAAGCATTTTGTTTTCAGAGGACTGGTAGAGTTTTTCAAGAGTACAATTTAAGCACTTTTCAAGGTCTGTAAAAGTGCCAAAAGGTTTCGTGCTCATGGCAACTTAATCCATTGCTTTTTTTGTAAAGGATTAAGGTCCAATCTACGTTTGGTGTGAGTGGGCCACCAGGATATATTTTATTATTTCACATATTACAGACTTCTGGTTTAAATGAGTGATTTTGCAGATGAAACACCAGATAACGTTGGTATTGGGGTTAGGCAATAAGGAGGAATTTCACAAGAACTGATTAAATATAAAGATATTACTAATGATATTGTTGAGTTGATCATTGGAGCTTTCACCAACTATTGAAATTAGATTTTTTTATAAATAATCATTAGTAATGGGGAAATCATGACCAGGCAGGTGAAGCTAACAGTTTGGAAAAAGAAAGAAGAAGAAAAAACGTTCTAACATATTATGATGTTTCTATACCCAAAAGTACAAGTATAATTTAGCTTCTTTTTTTACTTTCAAGACTATACCCACCCTATTTTAAATTAATCCATGTATAGTATGATCTCATAAAGACTGTCCTACCATTAAGACAATGTTCAAAGTTGTTGTTTGTGCTACTAGACCATTGTTGGGCTTGAGAAGATGTACAGTACGCTCCAAAACGGGGCTCCGTGCAGTGGATGAGCCTCACATCTGCTTGCATCATCACCTCTGCAGCATCTGGCCACATAGATTAACACTTGCCCCGGACCCCCATGACCCTCCTTGAGGAATTTGTTTTAAGACCGAAAAAACTACAGCCTGTTATGTGACACCCTTGTAGAGAGAAACCGTGCCGGGCCATCATATCCACGCTGAGAGATCTATCACCTAACAGTTGGTTTTGGTCCCCAAGCTCCAAGTGACCCCTCCTTTCAACCATTTGCTCCCATGACTTGTGAGGAAAGGTAATAACTAATGCTATTTTTTTTACCCAAGTCAAGCCAAAACCCATGCTTATTAATAAAGAACTTACTATTCAACGTAGGGCTGGGAAACATATCGATACTATATTGATATCGCGATGCTAGACTAGATGTTGTCTTAGATTTCTGATACAGTAATATCATAAGTGTTGTCTTTTCCTGGGTTTAAGGGCAGCGTAACAGTAA